ATAATATATTAATATTCTTTAATTAATAATTAAAAATCTACAAAGTTGTTAGGAAAAAGGTAGAGAACTTTCTTGTTTAGGTTAACCTAATATATAAGCACACGATGACAGACGTCGCCACTACTGCTCATCTACCATAGCTCGTGAGATTATTCATAAATCTTTTTTAATTAATATCTTGATAATCATTACAAATATCGCAAAACTGTATAGGACTTTTATATTTACTTATATATTGTGTGTGATTCAATTGAGAAACTAAATTTAACTCTATCTAGTCTATCTCTTTTTATCTAGTTTATATTTATCTTTAATCTAAATAGAGAAACATATCTAACTCTAAATTCAGATCCATGTGAGTACTAAATCAGTATTTCCCGTGAGACAAGTTTTAAATAACGACTATAAGCATATGTTTAAGAACTTAGATTTCACTTCTTATTATTGATAAAAATCCTCGCTATACTCTGAGATATTATTTGTTGTTTTTTCTTTTGTACAAACAAACGTTAATTAAACAAAGTTGATTTTGCACGAGTCGCATGCTTAATCTGGGCACATCGATTATCGCATTAATCGGCTGTTTCGCAAACACTGTCTGATTCCGGTATATGCGTGGGTCATCTTTTCATTCATCACGATCACTTACCTCAACCTACTTACGTGTCTCGTTACGTTAGCGATTTCTTATATACACACAAACACACATACACACACATACACACACAGATATGTGAACACCATACAATTCTTTCGATTTCGCTAAAATCTCACGCCGCCTTAAGTTTTGTTCGCTCTCCACGAGTGACAAGGAACACAATAAATAAGTCGCATTATCCATTGAGAATATATTTTTTACAAAGTTATGTTACAGAGTTTTTTATAGTATTTTTATAGAGTTATGTTTTTACAGAGTTAATTTAAAAATTCTTTTTTACTAAGTTGAGTTTAAAGTTAAGTTTAAAGTTTATAAAATTATCTTAATTAAATTAAAAGATATATAAATAAAAATTAACGTAATTAAAAATTATATTAAGATAGAATTAATTATTTAATGTTAAGAGTTAATTATTTTAAGCAATAAATATGTTTTTCGTATAATTAACTTTTTAATTATAGATTAAATTTATCTGAAGTAATGAAAAGATAATCACTTGTACAAAAATATTATTATTTTGTGCTCAGAAATTTATGCAAGAGAAGAACTCTAGTGCTCAAAGAGACGAAAAAAATTCTGTTGGCATCATTTTTTATTTTTTTTACATTAACAACCCGTAATGATTTTAATATTCATAATTTATTTTTATTTATATAAAAAGTTGATCTATTTAAAATTAACTAAATTAAGTTAAAAGTTATTAACTTTTAACTTATAAATTTTTAAATTTTACTTTTAATTGATTAGTTATTACCTAACACTAATTATTTGTCAACTTATAGCTTAACGTTTAGCAAGAAGTATTCTCCAAATTTTCTTACAATTTCTGTTTTTGTGTGGCGACGTCGATACGTCGCGGTGATCGGGGATGCTTAATTAATCCTAGCGAAATTATTATTAATTACGTTCCACACGTAGCGAAGCATCGACAGGTAGAATCGTGCGCGAATAAATGACCGCGTAACTCATCCGAGTGAAGGCTTCATGATGCGCCGTTTGCTCTGTAATCGGGGATAAATGGCATTACGTAATATTCTATGCGATGCGGAAGACTCGTCGTGTGTTACACGTGTGCCTACGCGTATTTGTATGCGCGAGCGCGCGCGTCGTTATTCTTCGCCAGGTCTTCGGCCGAGAGTCTTGATCCAGCTATGTCATCTCTGAAAAAGTGAGATGCTTGTGCGAAGTGAATCAGGGTGAATTGCGCAGCAAAGGTGTCCAAATATATTGATCTGCGCTTCGTAACTCGACATCTATTCTCGAGTAATCTGGACTCAAATTCTCAAGGTGGGTTTGCACAAGGTGTATCTCACCATTGCGAATGTTACTTTTTAAAATAACTCATCACTGTTATTCATTTTAGAAAATAATGTTATCGTTATTCAAAAAGTCTGTAAATTCCTCGAGTAAAATTTCCGGCGGCAAATAGAATAACAAATTTTTTTAAATCGAGAATTATTTAAAATCGAGTGATTTTTGCACCTACATAAAATAAATTCTCTCATTTTGAAGTCGAGTGATATTTTCATTTGAAATAAAAAAGTAAGTTTGATATACTATTTCGTCACCGGAACAAATTAGCTCTAATCGACTGGAATATTCATTCATGCATTAAGAATTAATTTTAAGTTTGATTTAAAAGCAAGTTTTTGTGGTATTTTCTAGTCACACAATCTTGACAGTATTTTATTGACAAAATTTAAAGTGATTAAAAAAATAATTTTGCAATAACATTATTGATATAAAATTCGTAAATGTCATAATGTATAATCATTTTTTTTATTTAAAAAATTATCAAGTATTTTAAAAGTGACAAAATAAAAGTTGTAAAATACTCGTCATTGATGTCAATACCAATTGTAAGAAAAGAAATATAAATATGAAATGTACGTGGAGAAAAATTTTATGTAATAAAAATTACAATTTTTTAATTTTGGACTATAAAGAAATTATGACTGGAATTACCGTATAGGATATTTGATATGCAAAGTGTTCTATATAATTTATATACATATATGAATTAGAGATTAAACTGAACACAAAATTCCTCTACCATTACCCCTAACCACGTAACATTTTTAATTATTAATTAAGGAAGATTAGTGAATGATCACGCACGATATGGCTGTGAAATGAGTTGCGATAATGACATCTACAGTTGTATACTTCTATGTTAAGTTAAAGTAAATAAAAAAACCCTACACTATTTTGCAAATAAGTATGTAGATTTCTGAATTATTAATTGGATTAAAAGTTCTGCAAAATCATTTTGTACATTAAATCAATTTTGCAGAACTTTTAATCCAATTAATAATTCAGAAATCTACATACCCTAACAGGTAGTTTATACTCTAACGGGTCTTTTTATATAAAATAAAAAAAGATTCAAGCTTTATGGGCGCCTAAAATGAATTAAAAAACAGTTAATTTTTTCTATTAATTGTACCATGTTTTACTACTTGCTTTTTTACCCATTTTTAAAAGTTAAGTTTGTCAATGAATACACACTTAAAGAAAAGAAAATTAATTCATGCTTGATTTCTTGAATGATTGCAAAGAGAACCTCAGAGCTATCTCTACTTTTTAAATCATGTATCAAGTCTCTTCATTTTCATTTTTTTTAAAACGTGTTGCGTGTAGGTTAAGTTTTTATTCTTACATAGCTAGGGCCAATTAAAGAAGATTAGCGGATTATCACGCGTGTAATAATGCGCCTCAATATCCTTTAATAATAAAAGGTCTAAGTAGTTATTTGCGAAATGATGAAGAATTTCTTTTACTTAATCTAGGAGCATACGACTGTAGGTGTCACTATCAAAGTTCATCTGCCGTATCATGTGTGATCTATTTATTAATCTTTTTTAATTAATAACAAAATTTTATATGGTTTGATATTTATATGGTATTATTGTTTGAAAAATGGTAAAGGAATTTTGTGTTCAGTTTAACTTAATCTATACATATGTATACGAAGTATGAGATATTTTGTGTCAGACGCCCTGTATATTAACTCCGGTTATAATTTCTGTATTGTCCAAAATTGCATTTGTTACAATTTTTACTACAATATTTTCTCCGCGTGTTATATGTACTATTCTTGATGTTGGCTTATAAGCAACATAGATTAGCAATTATATTATCGGAGCAATCGCAGATATTGATGATGAAATCGAACAAGAATCCCCTATCGGAGCATTTCCTAATCAGTCCTCAAGATTCGCAAATTGCTTACGCGAAAATGCATGTAGCTCAACTTTCCCCGTCAAAGCGATAAATATACTACTCTCAAGCTCTTTGTTCAAAGACGACCTATGAATCCCGCGTACACCTTTCACACGCATAACATCGACGACAAGCGTCTCGATTCCGTTCACAATTCATCTTGCACTCGAATTCTTTTCAATGATCCTGTCGGTTCTGCAGCAAGGACACCTGTTGCCACTTTCACCTTTATTTCCGTTGTGTCTTAACTCCCTCCGCTGTCTTTGAGCGATTTTGAAATATTAAGTATTATATTTCATGATAACACTTGTTCAAATGTAAAAATCATTTGGCTTAAGATTCCAATTAATCTCGAGTATGGATGAACTAGTTTTACAACTCGTCTCGTACTTCTTCATTAGCCACTATTAATGTCGTCTTACGATGATGTACTCATAATGACGGATACTTTTACACGTGCTGCGATGTATGTTCGCGATGTAATGAAATTTATGTATGTTATGTGCAATCTGGATTTTATACACGCTGGAGAAAGTTTATCTCCACGAACGTGTACGTAAACTTCCTGATGACATAATGTAAAACATCTGATAGTGTTCTTACAAATAATCTAAGCGCTGAACTTGACACAATAAAAGAAAAAACGCCAACGTTTACCGTCTGCCTTACTTTCGCAAATGATCACTCGTTATATATTAGAAAGTATTCTCTTAATGTGAAAATGACAAATAATAGCTAAGGTCGAAACTAATTTAATTGACACAAAAATACAAAATGACTAAAATACAAAATGTATTTCGAATTTAACGGTTGTATGCAACTTTTTTCTTGTTTAAATTATAGAGATGAAATAAGATGATATATTAGCGAGAGATGAAATGAAGCCAACCATGAAGTTTGTTGAATACATAATTCTTTGACAGACAAAAAGGGGAGGGAATTTTATACCGTCGCAATCACATATGCAATCTGTAGACACAAGATGCATATTCGCAAGATGAATATGGTAGTAGCTGGAGCTGTTTTCCGGGATTACATGTAAGATGCAAAATGAATAACGAACACGGTACGCCACGGGGTTGAATAATCGTCGAGATGCTTCTTCGCCGGCTGTGTGTAATTATAACGGAAGTGTGATTTCATTAGTCGATGTCACAATGTTTCGGTCACGTGTATACCTGTAACCATGATTTTTCGTTGCCGAATGAACGTCTCGCGGGACGTTAATGCGACTGCCACACGAAAGATGCAATGATAACCGCAGTTTTTCAGCTTGAATAATGTTGAATACATTTAAGTGTAAGATTAAATAAAGGTTGAGGTAATGCATATAATTAACACTTTTATGAAAAGGTATCTTTATTTAAAAAGGCAGCGGGTATTCTCATGCAGAATCAGTAATTCTATAATACTGTTTTGTATATTCTAATGAAAGGCAGGACCGTACGTGGGAGACGGTGTTCCTGAGTAAGTGTTCCTTGAGCCGAAATTATTGTAACTGTCTATGGAATTAGAGCCGAACTGGTAGTTATTATAGTTGTTGCCGTTGTTGTAATGCCCACCGCCCGACTGGTAGTTGTAGCCACCTTGATTACCTGTTAGAGTGTAAAACATGAAAATAATAGAGAAATTATGCCGTAAATATTCAGAAATACACACAAGTGAATTGATGAATCTGTGGCAAGATTAACTCTTTAAGACTCAGTATATATAATCATGTACATTCACTTTTTGGGTCTTTTTTAAAATTTTTATATGGGCAAAATAATGATTCCGTCGATATAATACTATCGATCCTAAGTAGTATTATATTTTTCATTCAAACCTGTGAAACAGTGATTTTCGTTGAAAAAACTAATATAGTGATCTTGTGCAGAGCAGAATTGTATAAAGTTTAAAATTGAATAAAGAAAAAAGTAAAATTTTTTTCTTAATTTTTTATCGGTATTATCTTAAAGTACAAGATTAGCGCTTTTATGTTTGTCATAGTTATAAAATTTATTAAATTCTGTAGCTACGGCATAATGCAAATATGAATATATATAATAATAATGTATATACAGAAAATTATACTTCTGAACTGTCAAAGTTTTCGGAAAACACTTCATTAAGAGTGTATTTTAAGACTGTTTTATGAAGAAAAAAAATTTATTCGGACGGGGTCGATTCATTGACCTTAAAGGATTAACAAACGGAGATTTATGGCTGAATATACACAGAGAAAATATTGTAAAGTAAAAATTGTAATCAAATTTTTGTAGTCTTGTGTTGATACTATATAGTATCATGATTGGATATTATATTGAATATATATATATATATATATATATATATATATTTGTTTAAAAATGTTATGCACGTTTGACTTTTTACTAGAAAATGCTTACAATTACTTGAATGTTTTTATATTGTGTATAAGTAAATTGTCAAAATTATTATTTTTGAAGTAATTTATATTATAATTTCAGTATAATCCAGCTTTAAAAACATTGAAGAAAGAAATATAATTTTCACATAACTTTTATTACAAAATATTTTCTTCGTGTACTATTTAAAAAGAAAAAAATGAAACGTTAAATCTAGAGTTGGAAAGTAATGAGTTATTTGCAACATCGTTACTGTTTCTTTTCTTCAGTAAGATTTGGTAACAGTTACTTTTATTATTAGTAACGATAATGGTAACGCGATTATACTTTTTGAGCTAATACAAACATGTAATTGTCACTTTTATCGTTACTTTACACATGTAGAATATATATGTACTTGTGATAGGCGGCATGAATTGAAAAAAGTCTTTGCAATTTGATAAAAAAAAGTAGCGAACAGCATAACAATTCTTCATTGCTTCTTGAATAATAATAACAATAACGAACTATTGTCAAAATGACATAGACAAGTAAATTTGGCAGCAATTTTACTAGTTGATTTGTAAAGGATGCGTCTTTTACGAGTGATCCATATGGCACTCATATTTATCACATCAGAGAAATTATCATTGCTCAAAACAGTAGATAATGTAATATAAAATGCAATATAAAAATCTAAATGTAACTTAATAAATTTATTGCTGCATTAATATAACAAAAATTTTACATCATTGTATGAATTTATAATATATTTGCTTAATAAATGTCGTTAAAAAAATAGTCAAGTTCTCATCAATTTTCTTTGATTGTCTCATGTCGTGATCATCAAAGTTTATTTGGATATTTGGAAAGTAATGAGTTACTTCGTTCAATAGATAACACGAGCTACTTGAAAAAAGTAACTTTCTCACCCCTGATTGAATTGCACTTATATCACGTACCTCCGGTGTAACCTCCGGTGTAACTTCCGCCGCCGCCGCCGCCACCGCCGCCACCGATGTTATTTCCCGGATAGCCCAAACCTTGTCCGGCGTTGTTGTAGCCGCCGCCTTGCTGATTGTACTGATCCGGATAAGTCGCGGTGCCCTCGTATCTAACGTCGGCGTGGAAACCGGTCCTCCAGTCCGCGGTGTAAGTGACGATCTGCGTCCTACCGTCCGGTAGCTGCACCCTGTATTCACCGCGCACGGTCTCACCGTCGCTCGATTCTTGCCTGCCAAAGTCGTTGCCGGTAGCTTGGTCCTTGACAGAGTAGCCGAACTCGTAGGCTTTAGGCTAGAAGAAGCGGAAGAGGTATGAATTGCTTTCTACGCAGGAGACCAGACAAGTCAGCAAACCAGAGGGACGGGGAAGCGCGCGAGTGCATCCGCGATGATGCAATATCTCTTCGGGAGACGACAAGCTTTTCTCCTTCCTTCAGTCGGCTAAGTGGAGCGGAGGACGCCGAGAAGAAGCCGTCGCGATTTAATCTGGCTCATGCCACAGCATTACCGTCGTTAACGTACCACTACTAGTAACAGCAGCAGCAACGTAGCTCGCTCGTTCGCTCGCCGACGCAAATCCGCGCGCGGGATGCGAGCGCGCGTCTCGTGAGCGCTCGCAGATTCCCGGGACGATTAGCTAACCGGCAATAACGATTTACCGTGAATTATGCCCGCGGTCGCGGTTCACCCTATTAATATTGTTACATCATTCATGGCGCATTTTCGCCACGCTCTCGCTCACCACGTCGTCGTCGTCGTCGTCGTCATCACGTCGGTCGACTCGAATTTGTAATGGCTACGCCACTATGTCGGTGTGTCGCGATGACACGTTACTATGTCGGTGTGATGTTTGGCATGAATTTCAATCTCAACATCGACGTAATCATATACTGTTAACAATGTGCCAGTATTAAAGAGAGACTATATGAAAAAAATTGTTCTCGTAGAGGTGAAGATTTATTCAAACCGAAGAAGTATCATAGTAGTCTTGCTCGATTCGGATATACTTATAATGTAGAACAAAGAATAATGCTATAAAAGGGCCACACTTTGCCCATAAGGAAAATGTATGAAATCTTCAGGCTATCTTTATATTTTTGCACCTGATGAACTCAAATATAAAGCTTAAAATTGTCCACATTTCGGGGAACTTTATGAAAATGCAATTTTTCTACAGAAAAATTGTTCAAATTCCGGGGAACTTTGTGAAAATGCAGTTTTTTTTACAGAAAAGTCTCGTTTTTCAGCAAATACTTTTTGATGAATGATTGACAAATGTGAACAAAAGAAGTCTTTTTTATTAATTTTATTGATCTTTTTTAATTTAAAGAATGATTCTTGATCACTTGACCTATATTTTCGCAGCTCCGTGAATCGTAGTGCAAGGGAAATAACGTACATTCGTAGTCGAAAAAGTTATTTGGTTTTTTAAATAAGTTTCGGACCCTATTTGTTTTGTCCAATGAAAGAGCTTTTATTAGAAAATAAATCCTGCTATTGGAGACAAAAAAGACAGTTCTTTCCTAAAAAAAACAACCTTTTCGACCACGAATGTACAATTGACACGAATGTACACAGCGTTCATGTACAGAGTTATTTAACTAATGGCATATTCATATATCGTTCATTCATGATATAATATAAACCATTTTTTTTATAATAAAAAAGTAAAAATAAAAGTTTTTATAATAAAAACTTTTGAATTTTCCGAAGGTTTGTGTGACAAAAAAAAAGTTTCGGTTAGTAAGAGCTGCGAATATATCAAATAATCAAAAACTATTCATTAAACAAAAATGTCAGTAAAAGAATCAATAAAATCAATAAAAAAATTTCTTTGTCACAATTGTCCATTGTTATATATATATATATATATATATATATATATATATATATATATGTGTGTGTGTGTATATGTGTGTGTGTGTGTGTAAGCGTGCGCGTGTGTTTATGTATATGTACAGAGTATCTCAGAATAAACTTTGAAGCTCTCATGGAGGATAGTACGAATTAAGGTAAACATAAAAGTCCTATAACGTTTTGTGATATTCGCAATAATTATAGATATATTAATTAAAGAAAATTTATGAATAATCACACGAGATATGGTAGATAAACTGCAGTGGCGACGTCTGCCATCGTATGCTTGTACATTACATTAAACTAAACAAAACAGTCTTTTACCATTTTCCTAATAACTTTGTAGATTATTAATTATTAATTAAAGAAGATTAGCAGATGATCGCTCATGATAATATATTAATGTTATCTAATTAATAATTAAAAATCTATAAAGTTATTAGGAAAAAGGTAATACAGGACTTTTTTGTTCAGTATGACTTGATGTATAAACATACGACGGCAGATGTCGTCACTGCAGCTTATCTACCATAACTCGCGTAATCATTCATAAATTTTCTGTAATTAATATCTTGATAATTATTATATGTGAATATTGCAGAATGGTATAGAACTTTTATATTTATCTTAATTCGTATTATGCCTCTATGAGAACTTTGAAGGTTGTTCTGGTACACCCTATATACATTGTGTGTGGTGAATATTTACTCTGTAATGGTATCCATTATATTTTTACTAGTTACAACCTGAGTAGCACAATGTATTGAGTTAATGTTGAATCTTTCTTCATAAAAAAATCTGAGTCACTTTGAAATAAAATATATATCCATATCTTTTTTTATCTATTATGTTGTAAAGAAAATTAAAATAAATTTAATAGTAGTTTATAATGTTATTTTTCTGTTATTTCAGCAGAAAAGAGCACAGTAAAATAATAATAAAGATTTTCAACAACGTATAATACAAGCATGCAGAAACATAAATCGAAATATTCTAATTTATACGACATATAAAACTCTATTACAGAGGGCAGAATTTTTGTAGCAGAAAATAAATTATATTTCGAATATGTTCTGAGCATCTAATATTCATTATATTATATTCTAAATATTATTGTTTTATCTGTCTGTGTATTTTCACTGTTACATTTATGTAAAAATAATATTATGCATTAATATTAAATTTATATTAATTTTTTTTACAATACTACGAATAAGATGTAATTCCACTTAAAAAAGTGAAAATAATCTTATTTTTATGAAAAAGTAATGTTTTCGAGATTTATATTATTGTATCTTTCATTGCCATTTAAAAACTGATTAATTATATTTAGAAATTTTTCTTGCTCAATCGTTGTAACTGGCAAAAAATAGTGAATATCGTTACGATGAACCTTTTATTGGAAATTGAGGATTGGGATTAAAATAGGAAAAGATGAGAGATAGAGTTCAACAAAATGATTTCGATCTTGCCTTACTTTGTCTCGATTGATCAAGTTTCAATCTTCAATCGGCAACTCGTAATCTCCAATATGTAGCCTGATATATGCATAATTGAGAGGCGCTACACTTAAACATCCTTTGAAAATTGTAGAGTTTTGAACGAAGTCGATTAGGTTTGTGCAAGGTAAGTTGTGCAAAGCGATGATTTGTTCGTACGAAAAAAACAGAAAGAAGAGAAGAGAAAGAGAGCGAGAGAGATGGAAAAGTTATTACGGTAATTCTTTTCACTAATCACGACGTATGTATCGAGAGAGGTAATGAACTCGTACAGAGAGCTAATTATTCCGCGAGCCGCGTCTCTCATCTCATCCGCACTCGTCTTCGCGAACACGCGCGACGCGAATTAAGTTACTTAACTTAATCGGATCGTGACGGTAAAAGGATACGGAACATCGACCGTGACACAACATCAAGTAGAATATCTCGAGATGTACCGGCAGTCTATATTAAACCTATTCACTGCCAACAAAAAACCGTGAGATCATTCAGGTGGAGCGGAGTCGGTTCAAGCTCAGAGCGCGCTTCTTCGGGCAAGGTTTACGCAATCGGGTCAGTTGTTGCTTTGTACAGAAAGTTCAATGTTACTTCTAGGACATGACTGGATCCAGATCTACAACGCTCAACTCTGACCTCGGGAGTGCCTGGTTGCGTTTTTCGCAAGAGCCGTCGAAATGATCGAAGGATTTAAAGTAGGGATCGCGATTTATAGAAAGTAACATTGAACTCCTCGAACAAAGGAATCGTCTATTCCGATGATGTAATGCGCCTTTTTCTCTCAATATGCTCCACATCGACGCGAAGCCGAAATTAGCTAAGAAATTTCGAGCGGATGTGCGTCATCTCAGATTTCACGAAATTACGAACTGGAAAGTCACTTCAAAGACAAATAAAAGTATCTTTTTGTCGTGTTGGTTGCATCAAGTTGTTTTTCGGTTAATCGCTCCATGAGTAATTTATCAATAATAAAAACAAAAAAACCCACATCATTTAATTGCATAACAAGCAACTGGCTTAATTACGCACGTGCAATTTGAAGCCTCGTTGCGCAAAGCACACTGATCTCAGCTACTGCTATTTAGCAATCATCGAATGAAGATCGAAGACGAGCCGAGACCCGATTTCACATTATGTCAGATCGTATAGCGTGAATTTTCAATTGGGTCAACGCAACGTCGCGTTTAAGGCTCCTGACTACTCGCTGCGGAACTCTTGACTGATTATGTCATAAATGAAAAAAACATGCTTAAAATTCTTACAAAATACATAAAAAAAATAAAAAAAAATATTCATACTCTGTAAATTTTGTTAAGCAAAATCTGACTTAAAACGAACAAAAAGTGATAATATTTTCACGAAGTGATAGTGAAAATACTGTCACTCGAAATCACAAGAAACAGAAGAAGTGAATGTTTCATTTCAGATCAGAGTAGATTCTGATTATGAAAGTATTCACTCGAAGATTCAGAGTGTTGAATTTAATAAGAGCAATAATCCAAATTCGAGTGACTCAACTGTCACTCTACTTCTCTGGTAAAATATTACTAAAAAGAATTTAGAGAGAGAGTTTACATACCGTAACATTTTCAACCATAAAATTAACGTGACATGTAACTTTCTTTTTTCTCATGCTTTTGTCACGTCAATTTTGCGGTTATTTATTAAACATTAGAGCAAAAGAAATGTGTTCGGATTAGTTTACATATCTGCTCAGTTGATTGCAAATATCTTTTCATAATCATAATTAACATGTCTTTCTATTTTCATGTATTTTGCAAGAATTTTGAACATATTCTTTTGTTTTTGACGCCATAAATCAAGATGTCGCAGCGAACAGCCAGAAGATTTAATAATCTATAAAAAGAATTCTGAAAAAAGTTATCCCGCTGGAGTTAATTATCAGCACAAAAACATCTGTCTGAGTTTCGCAAAATAAAAATAATACTGTAGATATAAGAAGCGGTGAAGTTGTAATGAAAATTATAGTATAACGGAGTATGGGACTAATTGTACGTATTGTCCTCGATCAGGCGTGCGACTTTGCTCTAAAGCTTACTCAGCTTCGAGTGTATGTATGTGTGTGTATGTACGACAAATACCTCATTATCTATGTAATCCTGATTATCGTGCCCATCATAATGGCCCCCGAATCCGTTCCCGCCACCCTGCGCTCCACCGTGATGACTTCCACCTGCGAAATTGCCTGGAACTCCATATTGATTGCTGAGGGGTGGCTCACAGTGCACGAGGCTGATGCTCGCTATCAAGGCGAACAGTACCTGTCGTAAAAGTATCGATTACAAATTGGTGAAAACTCGATTTTGTCCATCGTTAACACATTAATTGGTATGTTGAATCTTATTGATTGTGTAAAAGCTTAACCGATGATTGGATTACGAAAGATATGACGAAAAGAACCGTAATTCAAGACATTATATAAAAAATATTGGATAAAACAATTTGAATTAAGGAGGATATTCAACTTTATTGCGTACAAAAAATCGATTTTTCTTTTTTACATATTTTAAAAGTCTGAAGCTTTGAGAATATACTCGTAAAGTTCTAAATTCGAATATTTATCGGAGTAACAGAATGTAAACTGAAACAGCGCGCAATTAGGAAAGGAATTGTTCGACCAATTTATGAAGAACATTTTTCTCAAGATTTATTGGAACAATATTTTAGAGCTTTGGTTATAGCCAATATTTTAGAGCTTTCATTATAGTAAAAAAAAAACAGTAATGAAAGTTTCAACATTGCGGTGTGACAATTTGCTCCAAGTATATTCTTTCTACTTAAAAAAATTATAAAAACTGCTGTTTTTTTAGTAGTATGCATCTTAAATGAAGAATTTACGTTCTATTAAAAATTATGAAGATGTTGAGAATAAAAATTAATTTTTATTTTTTTACTATAATCAAAGCTTTAAAATATTGGCTATAATCAAAACTCTAAAATAATGTCCCAATAAATCTTGAGAGAAATGTCCTTTATAAATTGGTCGAACAATCCTTTCCTAATTGCGCGCTGTTTCAGCTAATCTTCAAGCTAAAATTTTCGTCAATCAGCGCGATGCCAAGCAACTGAAGATTGCCGAGCGTCGAGAGATTGATATAAGTCACGGGAGGCTAGAATGGCTTGTAAAGATAAAAAACTGCTAAGAAAGATTTGTTCGAAGAGATAGAGAGTATATGGTTTTATGGCCTTGTAATGCTGATTAAATGTAAGCAGTCAAAATTTATAGTTAAACATAAAATAACAATATTTAAAGCTTTAAATTTATTTCTCTTAGAATCATAATTTTCAAGTTTGCAGGAATCATAACTAAAAAACCATTAAAGATATTACTTTCTAATTTGACACGTTTTTAAAAAACATGTTTTTCCGAAAAGTGAAATACGATGAAGACAATATTTATAATAATTTTTTTTACATGCAAATGCAGATGAGAATTTTAACCGAAAAATATGTAAAAGGCTATCATTTTCGCAATTTTTAGTTTTTAATATTACTTTTAGTTCAACTGATGCACGAACTCATATAAATTAACAAAATTCTTCGTTTTATGTTTCAGATCAATCAATGCTTCTTAATCACTTTTGTAAAGTGTAAGGTATATTTTTTGCAGTCCCCATTTTGATGCCGTCTACACATAATCTATTAGATAGTTTGCGATAACAAAAAATGCTATTACAATCTATAAAAATAAAAAAATATTTGTAAAAATAACATCTTAATTGCTTCTTTTCTTTTCTTACAAATTGTTAAAAACAGACATTTTTCTAACTTAACAAGATAGAATACTTTCTTAAGATAGAAAAGTTCGATTTTAATATTGTACATTGATAATTAACTGTTCTAATTATTTTAGCAAAATTTTGATTTTTTAAATTTCTTCTGTTTGTGCAAAATATTTATTTCGATGAGACGATTATAAGGCTAAATCGATACTTATTTGTACTATTTGTTTATATAGAAAAATATCATTTTACTGTTAAGAAATTTCTTAAAATTTCTTAATAAACTTTTTAATATATACTCATTATAAATTTTAAAAAAGAAGAATATATTCTCTTTATAAGAATATTATAAGATTTTGTGGAAGAAAAAGTTGATTCGACCTTATGCAGTAAGCAAATCGAATTTTTATTTTAATTTATTATTCTTGATTGAAATATTAAACTTATTAGGATTTAGAATATACTTTGAAGAAATTTGATACTTATGATGAATTGATGATAGATTTGCTGTTATATAAATTTATGAAATACTTGAAATAACTAATATTTATTTGAATGTTTAGTATGTATCTTTCGGTATACATTTATTATTTGATGTAGTCAATCATTGAATCAAATGTAGAATTACTCGTGTTATGCAGTTAGATCAACCTTTTGGCAGTTGAAAAGAGTATTTATGTCATATATACAACTGTTTCAATTATATTTCAGTTCTGTTAATGTTACACTGTTCATTAAAATTTAGTTAAATGTTTACGTCAGATTGGCGTTAATATGACTTCCTTCAATTTAACTCGATTGTAGTTTGTGCAACAAAATTTGCGTAGCTCTTATTATATTTTACCTGACTACTTACTTTTTTTATCTGATTTTTTTTAGTATATACATTTTATCTTGTTTTATTAGATCCCTATTGGCTGTACGACCGACTTTCCCCAAATGCAATTAATACTTTATATATAACTTAATAAAGTACAGTAAATATCATAGTATCAGACATAGATGGTCGGGATTCAACTTGTTAACCTGTGCCAAACGAGACGAAATATGAGAACAAAGAAGGAATTTATCTTTCCAGCGAACGGACTCCGTACACGCAGTGATTCTGTGCGCACGAGATGTTTACTGCGTAAAATATATAATGAAAATAAGAAACGCGCGGCCTGTCGAAAAGTCGAGAGAAGTGTGCGATCGGTAATTAGTCTGATCGACGGGTAATTAAAATATTTCCGATAGATTCCCAGGCGTGCTTTCCACGCGTCAGATGAGAACGTCAGATGATCAACAACGTGCGCGCGTTGCGTAGGCGGGAAATTAGAGTCACGCGCCTCTATCTTTTCCTCTCGTTTCTGCCGTATCGTGAGAAAGTGCACGATATTACATCACCGACACTTTAAAAACTGACGCAAGACTAAACATAACAGTAAAAGAATCAGAGAGCTCTTAAGGATGTAACCTGTGACTTTTCCACGGGAAAACATCTCCCGTACGCATGACTTTTTTCAGACAATTAAATAGCTGGTTCGAGACTAATGCATGGGTATATGAGTGTAGATTAAATCTTGCGTAGGTGTATAACGTTTTGTGTGATGTTACAACATTCAAACATTGAGATACTATTTTCGCGAAAGAGTATCGTATTAAGTGCTTAACCCTACAGTCGTTGCGCTACATTTTGAGTCAACGTATGGGACCTTGAGAAACCCTATAAAAATTATTTTATATCTTTTATGTTGAGAACTTAAATATTTTCTTTGTTTAATTAGGTTATTTGGTTCATGTAAAATATAAGAAAAGACTATTTTGGATATAATATTCTCTTAAAGACCTTATGCGACGACGTAGGGTTAATACGATAAGTTCGTTATATCGATAAATTTGGCAAATAAATTGCATATAAATTTATTGTAACTGGCAACTATCTCTGTTGATATTTACACCTCATTACAGTGAAACAGAAATTATTTTTCAACTGAATTATTTTGACTTCAAAACCTAAATCTGCAACTTTTACATATTAAGAAAAAAGTGTTTGGTATTTGTAACTATAATCACATAGTGAGAGAATTATAATCAGAAGAACTATTTTTATAGTAAGTGTTATTTATATTATTATGTCAATGTCAATAACCTTACATGTATATTGTTGCAATTTTATAATAACTGCAATTTTTGGTGAGATTAACTATTTTTTTCTCAATGTGTTTATTTGACTTCGTATTAATCTTTTTTTATGTATGTACGGAATCAATACATTGTACTATTGAGTGCAAATCAGTCAAAATATTGTACGGTACTCCGATTCAATGGTAGGATCTCACGTACCAATTAATTAATTGAACTTTCCTGCTCTAGTAGATGCACAAGTATAATAATTGCATACATTAGCGCGTAACACAACATAATATCATCGTACGAATATGTAAATTAAGCATTATTATAATAACGAGATGGTGTCAGCTGTTAATATTTGTTACGTAGCATTGTATATTAAAGACGTAATCTGCATAATCTTTCCTTTACTTCACAGGATTATTATCGCTGTTCCGACGCTTCATCATTCATTTCCTTGTTAACCTGGTCTTTGATCATTGTTCTATGAGAGAGTTTAAATTTGTAGATCGAAGTAACGATGCTTTAACTGATGATGATGTTTTTTAAATATCTAATATATACGTTCAAAATTTAACACAACGAGAATATAATTGAAATATAAAATTGTGGCAAGTAATATAATTGACAATTGTGAAGCAATATAATAGTGTTTTATCATACAATTAATAGGAATTAATGTAATATATTATAACAAATAAGAATTAATACGTGAATCCAGTATGATTTATAAAAATTTTCGTTTAATTAGACATGCTAATCTTAATATTAATCTTATTTGGTTTCGATAATTTTCCAAGTGTTTGCGTTGTATTAGCCATAGGCGAGACGTTGAAAATGATCAAAAATACTTTTCTCACATTTCCAATTTGACAGTCAGCGTCACTTTGAACGACCGCAAACGTTGTCAGCCGGTGGTTTACGGAAACTTACATCGGACCGTCGTGTCGTTTAATGAGCACACTCCAAACGCGACGAAGAAAATCGCCCCGCGAAAGAAACACACCCGTAGTAGATCACACGATAGGTTGAGAGAGGCTCTCAATGGATGAAAGGAAAGATCGGTACAACTGAGCGCAGAAACCGATCGATCTATCGGGTCGGTACCCTTTTCCGGCGCCGGTACCATCCCCGTTGTGGCGTCGGCAATCGCATTACCTGTCGCACTACCGTATCCATGGAATCTCAAGGGATGGATCTCGCGGGGGTGGATGGTGATGGTGGTGCGAGACGACGCGTCGGACGGGCGCACTCGTGTCAAGAGGAAGCGGAGCACACCGGACTGAATGCTGAAATATGGTGACGTTTCGGCGTGCATACCGGTGCTTATATAGAGAGCTCTCTCTATCTCTCCGCTTCCACGAAGAGAGGATCCGTTTCCTGCCGCCACCGCCACCGTCGGCGGCGTCGAAGAGGAGGCAAAACGAGAGCGAAGGGAACAGCGGTGTCGGGGGAATTCTTCACCTGGACGGACGCACGGAGTCGGCAATATAAGAGACCGCGGCCGAATGTACTCCAGTTCACATAGAGAGACCGCGCGTGTGGAAAGACCGCGCTTTATTTCCCATTGTTCCCCGGCGCAGCGGTGTGCGCGATTTCGGGCTGAAGGAGAAGAGAGTATGTAGAGAAGGAACCGAGGACGAGAAGACGAGCGGAGTGGAGCGGAGCCGAGGATCGGCGCGTCTACGCCGCGGAGAAAGCTGATTACTTCATCGCGTGGGACAGCCCGCGCGGCGCGCTGCTGCTCGCCTTCTTCGAGCGGACTAATTAGGCAATTGAGACTTAATTAAGCCGCAGGACCAACGGCGGACGCCACACGAGTCCACGATTAGGTCCTCGGGAACGAGTGCGATCGCTAGCTCGTTTCCGCAACTACCGAAAGAGATGTAGGACCGCGTGAGAGGATGCTTTAGCGAATAGGGGTTGCCGGCGGGAGGGGAGGAAGAAAGAAAGAACGAGAAAGAGAGAGAGAGAGAGAGAAAATACATGATATCTCAAGATATATTTTATATTTTTTCTATTATTACATATTATATTTATTATATTATATATGTTTTATTATATTTATATCTCTCTTATATATGAATAGAAAAGTTAGTTGATATGTCGACCATGTGTTTTGTTTATGTATTTATCGTGAGAATTGAAGCAGTTGAAAAGAAATCGTAAAGTTTCTTTCAGAAACTTCAAAGTTCTTTTCAGAACATACACTTTTCTCTGAGTTTCATCTAAATAATATTACAGTTAAAAATGAAAAAGACTGCTTTTTTTATAAGTACCCATGACATTTTTGAGCGTCTCGAAATTTACTATTAATATTCTTTATCGTCAGTGAATAAACTTGTGTGACGTGTTATTAATTAGAATGAAGTTTTTTGCAAATGTAGGATACACTCTTTTGGACAATAAAAACAATTTTCATTCATAAAATGACTTAAATCGAGCGTTTGGACGAGCGAGGTAAAGTTAGCTATTACGAGAGTAGGGTGAAAAGTTCCGGGTCTCATATATAGATAACTCTACTATGTTTAATATTTTAATAGTGTTGCATGATTTCATTCTTCATATGCTTATATTCGAAAGTTTAAGTCAATAAATTGTTCAGTATTGGTTTGATAGCAAAAGTAAATGCCTCAAGCATCGTTTGTAAAAATGGAAAAAGTGAAAATTCGTGCTGTGATTAAACTAACATCAATGAATTAAAGTCCGAATTGCTTGTCCACCTACCATACTCGCTAGATTTAGCCCCAAGCGACTTCTGTCTCTTTTCCAACTTCAAAAAATGGCTGAGTAAAAGATTTACGAACGACAATGAAGTCAGCGACACTGTAAATAGTTATTTTGAGGACCTTGACAAATCGACCTATTAGTCTAGCATAATCGCTTTAAGACATCGTTGGGAAAAGTGTATCACGCTAAATGGAGATTATGTTGAGAAATAAATGAAAATCAATCCAAAAAAATTTTGTTTTCTTATTCAGGCCCGCAACTTTTCACTCTATCCTCATATTTAAGGATTAGCAAAGTTTTAGAGATTCTGGAACTACTAATCAAGATACATATTCCATATGTATTGTGGTCTTTTTACCTTGAATTGCTAGTCAACTTGATCCGCTTGACCAAGATAAGATGGTCACATTGTAGCAAGTTCGTATTTCATCATTACTGAAGAAAATTTGATTTTCAAGATGCGGAAGCAAAAATATAAAGGATTGTCTCTATCATCTATATTTAGTACAGTCAATTACAACAATTATATTTTTCTACGAAGTTGTAACTTCGAAATTTTGAAAAATGTTATCTGGCTCCTGTCTCTCTTACAATGTAAGTCACGTAACGTTAGATCCTGCAGCTACTTTCTGCGTGTTGTTTTTTTGTATTAAAGGAAGATATGTAAGGAATAAATATTGTGAACAGCCAATCCTTCCAACTGCGCAATTTATATCGTACGAATCTTCTTCTATTATAAAAAATAACAGAGATATTTTAGAATCTAACATTAGGCAATTACTCACTCTGCACATAATATACACAATATTAATTTATTTTTTATAATTTTATTACATTATATATTATTAATATTTATTTATTAATACTTATTTTTATCATATTTTTAAGTGTTGGGATATCAGCAAATAGAACTGTTAAGTCCCGTTTCTGCAAGAAAACCGTTATAAAAATATTGGGTTACAAAAAGTGTCCTTGAATCAAAATCGTGACGAAAAAAGACACGTGCATGCTGATGACGAGTCAACGTCGTGTGCTTGTTTTGATAATTGACCAATTGGACGTTGATTATTCAGCGAGATTCAGCGTGTCCAGTCGCTCCGTAAATCCTGCCTTTCGATTTCCTTTGTTGTGTTCACTGCGTCGTCTTGGTCGTCATCGCCACGCACGTGAGCAAGGGCCCACGCTCATCTGGAGCGTTACTAATAATGCTCTCTCACCTTTCCTTTTTTTCTTTTCGATGAATACGCACGCCGATCTCGTGTCCTTGAAAGAGCTTCTTACTGTACGCAAGCGCACACGGCGTACCGGCGTGTCATCATCCTCGTAATATATTAATATGTCTGCACTGACGTGCAACCGTCGTAAGGATATGCTAATGCCGCAATGTAGCTTGTTACGTCAAGTAGTTAGGCCGCGCAAGGCCCAAACGCCGCGCGTTAACCCTTTCGCTCGCAGCAGACCCAATTATGGACATGCCTCTTGTTCACTTGGACTATTGCAAAAATCTACATAAGAGGAAGAGAGTGAGAGAAAGGTTTTCGATGGTAGATGCATTCACCTAACATCGGCGAGCCGGTCGCCGAATTATTAATTCGAGGCAATTTTCCTCTCGAAATTCCCTTATTTCTACTCATTCTTCGATTTTATCGTAAAGTTTCGTTAAGTTACCGTTAAGTTAATAAGTTATATTATCTTTATGCTCTTTCTTTTTTAGTTTTGACACCTACCTCCACTTTTCTATCGTAATATCCGAATTACATTATGCCCAATAGCAAGTGACGTTGCGATTTAATAAAAGATGACAGAAGCCAGCGTCATAACGAGGCCACCCAGCTAGATGATTCGTTATCTCCTACTTTGGCGCAGTAAAGTCTCGAGGAAGTTTATTTGTTTTTAATGATACCTTACGTCGACGAAAAACAGTCCGAATCGCGCATTATCCCCCAATCTGTTGATCTGTGTAATAGTGTTTAAGACACCGGCCGGCTACCGTAAACGTGCTTATATCGTTAGTAAAGACAAAATACTAAAGAGTACATATGCAAATATGTTTTACGTTATGCACGTTATTGCGTTATGTATGTGTATCACGGTCCTTCTAGTCTTCGAGTACATAAAAAAAATCGAGTAAATCAACTCTCTATCACAAGATAAATATACCAATAAACCGATGTCTAACAATGCAGATTTAAGATTACTTAATTTTTATAAGGATATCCAATATTTTTAATATGATCTAATTATATAATTAATTAAAAGCTAAAGTATAACAATTTATTTTTAGAAATTTAGGAAAAATTAACTGATCTAAATAAAGTAAAGAATATTAATGCTAATGAGTTTTAGGTTGTTCCTTTCCTGAAAAAGTGAACTGTTCCACGGAACGTCTGAAACAAATTTATGAACGACACGACATCAATTTGAAAATCAGACGAAGCATTTCCTATATCGTGGAAACCTAAAGTATTAGCTAATGATTATCTAATCCCGTAACAACCTTGTAATTTGTAGTTTAACGTATAAGAAATAATTTAAGGTTGTAAATTTTCTAAGTTTCATGATAAGTTTCAGAATAATTAGGACTTTGGGCTGAGGGATAGCTTGTATCATTTCTTTGCCTATTAACAATGAAGTGTTTCCGCCGAACAGTTAACACAGCATATGACATAAATCTTTGACCTTATGTATTGACGAATTATGGCAACTTAAAACTGAAGAGGATCACATTCCATGGTCGAAACGTAATTTTAACAATACAATATGGAATATAAAATAGAGCTCAACAGCCGCACTATTAGCTCTTTAGCCCTTATTGAAATCTTAGTTTCTAAATTTTATTTTCAACTTAAAATAAAGGTTTACACTTAGAATAAAGATTCTAATTTTGTCATTCTCTTGTTCGCGTTTATACCATCTTGAGTCCGATTAAAATGTTTGTTGATAGTTATTTATCGCTTCATTCTTCGATGTTCTCGAAATTTTATGGCTAATTTTTATGTATCAATTTATTTATAATATATATTAGCATCTAGTTATGTAGTCTATTTATACCGAGTTTAATTTTATATTGAGGTATATATAAGGTATAAATCCTTCTTTTACATTATTTTTTAACATATGTGTGTCTTAATACACATAAAAGATACGAGACAAATTTTTTAATTAAATATAACAATTTTAAAGAGCATATATACGAATAAATTAATAATCGGAGAATCTGAAATACTTGTCCTAATTATTAAACTTTTGCGATTCAATATCCAGATATGATTATTATAAGAAAATATTTATTGCTTATTTATCATAATTAAAAAAATATAAAAATTATTTTATATCAGTGTTCATAAAGTACTTGTTAATCAATAATTATAATTATGTGTCCTGTCATTGATATTTTATTTTAGTAACTAATTTGAATAGCTATTAGATTATTCTTAGATTATAACAACGCAAGGAAACTGCTATTATACGCGCTAACATGATTTTGTTGCAACGCACTATTGCACATGAACTAATACAAATGATCGAGTTATGCCTGTTTTTACCAACGTCATAATTAAACCTTAATTTAAGTTTAAATCTTTCGCCTGTGTA